GTGGCGCCCACTCCAGGCCACAGCCCCCAGCTGCTCACGGCCACCCCGGGGAGAGCCTGCGGAGCAGTGGGCGGGCATCTGCTCAGCCCGCAGGCGAGACCAGCTCCGTCCAAGCTGCCCATCAGCAGGTGTTCACGAGGCCACAGACACCTGCCTTGGCAGCCAGCTGGGCCCTTCCCCTCCCCTCCCCTCCTGCCTAAAGCAAAGGAGCAGCTGTCTGTTTTCCAGCCTGAGGCTGAGGAGGAGCCAGGACCCCAGGCCAGGTCAGCCACGTCACCGTCCTGGCCTGTGAGCTCTCCATGCGGGCAGCAGCACGAGGGCCCGCCGGCCAGCGCTCAGGACACGGAGGGAGGCCACGCGGACGGCAGCGGTGCCTTGGTGACCACGCACCCTGGTGGCCAGGCCAGCACAGCACGCGGTCGGAGCTGAGGAGCGGGGCCGCCCTGCAGTCCCTGACTGGCCACACTGCACACGCCACAGCTACGCGCTTACCAGAGTCCTCCTCGGAGGGGGACGCTGCCCGGACGGCAAACTTGGTGTTGTAGCGGGCCTTCTGCTTCTCGCTCAGCATGTTCCACTGTGACCCCAGCAGCTCTTCGATCTCCTCCCTGGAGGCGTCGGGGTGCTCAGCCATCACCTGTGCGCAGAGGGAGGGGTGGTGAGGCCATTCCCCGAACACCCACTGGGCTGCGCTCTGGGCCCCTGAGAAGGAGCAGGCGCCTGCATGCCCGCACCATGCCTGCCCGCGGAAGCCTGCCCACCGCTGGCGCTCACTCTTGAAAGCGAGGCTGGAGCAGGGGTTCGACTGTGACGCAAACAGAGCGATACACGGTGAGAGAAAACGTACTTTTCCAAAGTCATTAAGTTGTTAGGCAGCTACAGTTTTCTAGGTGCGTTCAAACATCAGTTACAGGAAAGGCCCCAAGGAAACGCGTCCCTGGAGCAGGGAGTGAGGTCTGGGCCCAGAGCACCCAGGGCACCTTCAGGGACCCGCTCTGGACCGACGGGAGGGTGGGT